TTCCAGAGCCGCAATACTCCATGCACCCTAAACCCTATACCCTAAACCCTAAACACCCTAAATACACCGCATATGCCCTCTAACCCCCTTTGAAGTACAGTGGACTGTAAGGGCCTAAAGATGGCAGCCTCCATTGTCCATGTGCTACTGACACGACTTGATGAAAGGCAACCCCCCTCAACCCTAGACCTCGAACCCTAACTTAAACCCTCAACCCGAGTCCTCAAACCTTAAACCCTCAACCCTGGACCCTAAACCCTCAACCCTATACCCTAAACCTCGCCTCAAACCCTCCTTCCTTCTGGGGAACCTCGACTTGCCCTCACAACACTGGCGGAACAGCAACCGAACGGTGCACGAGCATGAACTGTTTGGAAGACCATTCCCGGGTAATCTTCGAATTGCTCCAGTGGAATGCAACCCAAACCCACCAGTCCCAATCAGCTGCGTTACCAACTGAGTAGCGCTTTTTTGGTGGGTAAATCCAGTAAGATAATATGCCTTATATAAAATACTATACCCCAAAAGAGGATACAATCTTACTCTATAATGGGTACCAAAGTATCTCCAAATAAAATACTGCTCAACTGAAAACCTGAAACCACCTTTAGCCCTAAACTACCACCAGGTAAGCTCCAACCAGCCTTCTTTGCTCTCGCCTTCTCCGCTTCTTCGGAAGCTTCACGCCGCTGCTCTTCCAAAGCCTGGCTGGACAAACTGTCGATATCTTCGGTGGACCCCCCACCCAGTAATAGTGACTATAGGGGATAATAGGGGTTATATTGGGGTCCTCTTATATTCCTATTATACCACTATTACAGGGTGGGGGGTCCTCCTAATCGATATCAAAGACCAAGCATGGCCTGAGCCTTTAACATACCAGCTTTAGGGTTTAGGGTTTAGGGTTGAGGGTTTAGGGTTTAGGGTTTAGGCTTTTCCCACAATCGGGGACCCCAATATAGACCCCAAAGCATCAGAATCCTTGTTATGGGGACTTCCAAAACGGTACCCCTTACTTTGGGAAAGCGGTAATTCCTGAGTTACGAGATGCTTAGAGTCATGCAGCATTCTAGTAATTCTAGCATACACCTTTAGGGTTTAGGGGTTTAGGGTTTAGGGTTTAGGGGTTTAGGGGTTTAGGGATGATGCATCATGTATTTAAGCCGTCAACAAATGTGCCCCCACCTTTTTATAGCAAATTGAGCTTACACGCAACTCACCAATTGATTCGGAAGAAGGTTCGCTGAACCCCACCGAGGATACTGGTACCCTGGATCGCGACCTATCATTTCATAGCCGGAAGAGCGACTCAACTGGAACCCATACTCCTAGCCTTGAACCAAAAAGAAAACTTGGGACACTAAATCCAGAATCTACACCTCAAAGCTAATCCTGAAGCCCTAAAGTCTCAACAACAGCAACACCCCAAACAGAGGTCTCAACCTTGAGCTCTAAACCTGAAGCTCCGAATCCTAGCCCTAAACCCCAAACCTCAAGCTGTGAGCCCTGAACCTCAAGCCCAAACTGCAGGCCCTAGACCCTAAACCGGGTTGCTGTTAAGGAACTTAATGTAAGTTACTATATTGGGCAAACCACATGAATTACTATATTTACCATTATAGTAACTTAATTTGAACTCCTTAATAGAAACCCGGTAAACCCAAGAGCCTTAGCCTAGGGCTGAAGGCTTAGGGGCCGAACCCCTGAACCTTAACCCGCTGCGATCCTTAATATATAAAGACCCCCGAAACATGACCCCAAATCTTTGGAACCCCCCACAGAGCGGGAAGCTTTTCATGACCCTAAACCCTAAACCTAGTTTGTTTGCCAGGCCTTCTGCTTGGCTGCTTGAGCCAAGCCTAGCTGTTGCTCGTGCTCCTCCTTCGCCTTGCGTCCAGGGTTTAGGGTTCAGGGTTTAGGGTTTAGGGTTCAGTGTTTACCTGGACCCAAAAATTGGTAAAATAATGGCCCAAAACCGCTAAATGTAGCCCAAAAGGCCATAATTCTACATACTTTGGAGGTCTAGGTAGGGTGTAGGGGTCCAACAGCGCAAGGAAGGCAGCACCCATGACTCATGAACCCAGGTTTTGCTTGTCGCGGTTCTTTCGCGGTACAGCTAAGTCTGCCGAAGAACGCTCTGACAACAAGAAGATTCCTATGGTAAGGTCCGTATCAGAAAATCACACTTCTACACAATGTGTGTCAGCTGCAAACCGTCACAAGAGTCTTACACAAAGGGCAGTTTCATAGGCTACTAGGGCCATCTACCCCAAACCCTTGACCCTGAACCCCCAAACTTTTAATCACTTCAGCTCCAGCTTTCTTCACTCATTATTTTTCTACTCTTACTATTGCTCTTGCTGTTACTCTTACTATTAACTATTGACTATCAACTATCATCTATTAACTTTTACAATTCTCATCCCCATAACTGTTAATATTGCCCTTATTCTTACTATTCCTATTCCCATTCCTATAGTATATTCCTCTTATTATTGGTGCTACTATCACTATAACTATTGCTATTACTACGTACTCCTACATCTATCACTACCGCCTACAACTATAACTATTCTGATTGCTATTATTATTACTATTACTACTACTAATTACTATTACTATTAATATTACTATTACTATTATTATTACTACTACTATTACTATTACTCTCGGAATTCCTGTTACTGTTACTGTAGCTATGCCTTCTCCGCTTCTTCCGCCACTTTGCGCTGTTCAGCCAAGGCCTGCTTGCGCAAGACAATGCGGGGGTTCGTAGCGATGTAGGGGCCTCAAAGGAGCTAGTAAGGATGTACGTAGGGTTTAGGGTACAGGGTGTATTTGGGGTTTAGGAATTAGGATTTGAGGTTTATATGGGATAAGGGTTTAGGATTTAGGGTTTTGGATTAGGTTTAGGGTCTAGGGTACGCAAGCTTATATAGGAGCTTTGCAGGGAGATATAAGCTTAGGGAGGTATCCATCATGATGGAAGGGTATGTGGACTATGTTTAGGGTTTAAGGCTTTGGGTAACTTCACTAGGTCTAGGTGGAAGTCTGAGCCAGCCACGTAGCGCAGGGCTCATGAAGCCAGTTCATGGGAACATTAGGCCGTCCCTACTTGAGTAGCGTTTTTTTTGTGGTTGAACCTAGTAAGATTACATTCCTTATATAAAGTACTATACCCAAAAGGAGGCTATACTGTTATTCTATATTGGGTACTATAGTATCCCCAAATAAAATACTACTCATTTGTCCCGGTGGTGAGCCGGGACGCTTTCTACGGCTGCACCTCACTTCAAATCTGCTATGACTATTACTAGTAGTATTGCAATTACTATTACTATCACTTTCACTATTATACTATTATACTGTGATAATATTTCTATTATACTATTTTACTGTGATAGTATTTCTATGATACTATTTTACTACTACTCACTTTATACTCTTACACAATTTGATCTTTGATTGGTGGGCAAGGCCTGGCCACAATCCTATACATACGATAAGAAACTTCAGATCCCAAACCCCTACCCTAAACCCTGAACCCTAAACGCAAAACCGCTTTGCCATCCTGATCTGCATGAACACGAATATCCCAATACGTTCATCATTCAAAAGGAACCCACGCAAATCCGCCAAAAGAAACAAGTCTCACTCTTTGTCGAAATGTAGGTTGACCTACATACCCCGAAAGAGCAAGGTACTGATTGGAGCAACCCCAATATCAACTAATACCTCACTGTAGGTATCCGACAGAAAGGACCCTCAATGGTTGGAATCTGGAAGCCCCGATGCCCTAAGCCCTACACTATACATCCAAAACGCTGAGTCTAGGCCATTCAAACCCCAAGCCTTCTGCTTAGCTTCTTCGGGCATACGGATTAGCTTCTCTTGCTCTTCGTGCGCCTGGCATACGGAGCACTGCTCAAGGACTGGAGCTAGGGTGTAGCTTGTAGGGTTTGTTTAGAGGGGGATATAGGGTTCTATAGGGATACAGGGTTGAGGGTTTCCAAAAAATTAAAGGCCCCTGTTTGGGAGCCCCTGTAAAAAGGATGATGTTTGTGGTCCTTAAATCCGCTGGCTTAGCACTCTGTATCCGTACGTCTCTTCAAGCCTCTGTTTTGTGGCAGGCTTCTAACATGATGGGATTGTACACACCACAAACTGGGGCGCTTTTCTAATTTGCGCGTGCTCCTGTTTTTTCATGCGATGTTGTGCTCGTTTGGTGCGTTTTTGTGCTGGAACTGTTCTCCAAAAAGGGCATCCAACCCGTGATTCAGAGCAGGGACGGCCAGATAGTCAACAATACCTGGCCTCTACAAGCTGGTCTATCTGGTCCTGTGCCTGAAAAACATTTAGGGGTTAGGGTCCAGGGCACTAGTAAGGCGTGCGGTCCCTGAGGCTGAAATTCAGCCGAAGATTGCGGAAATCGGTTGATTGCAGAAAGTGAGTATTTGCAGGATTTCCGATCAAGTCTAGTCGCAGGTACGAATAAGGTTCCAAGTCAAATCCGAAAATATTCCCATGTGGGAAGGTAGGGGTGCGCCCAAAGAGTAGTTTCCATTTTCTTTTCCATTATCTCACTATAACCCCAATATATACCCTGTTATCCCTATATTATATATATCCCCTATATGCGCTAAGGGTCCCAAGATCTGCATGTGCGCAGCAGTGTACCTGGGCGATCCTACGAGCCTTTGCGCATAATAGGAATAATAGAAAGAATAAAAAAATAACATAGTAATAATGGTAGTAATGCTACATGTTCTCGTAATACTGTTGATGGAGGAAATCTTGCACCACCTAGGGCCCTAAACTACAGTAATTCCTAGGACTTTAGGGACTTCAGGTGGTGCAAGATTTCTTCCATCAACAGTAGTAATGATAATGATCGTAATAATAGTAATAATATAGTAATAGTACAACAACGCGGCAACCTCCCCCGCTGGCAGCTCTCTTTTTTCTTTGCGGGCATGAGGGCAGTTGTGCAGCTACTGCAATTAACCCTGCGAGGCCCATTCAGCACCAGCTTCGACAAGCAACCGTGCGATCTCTGCGTGGCGCTTCCGTTCTGCAATCTTCAGTGCTGTATTGCCCCCGCGTCTCTGCAGGTCCTTGTCAGCATCAGCCTCCAAAAGCAGGCGTACCATCTCGGTGCGGCCAAACTCAGCTGCGAGCGCGAGGACTGTGGTGTCACTGTGATCCTGCAGCTCTGTGTCAGCACCGGCTTCCAAAAGCAGCCGTGCGATCTCCGTGTGGCCACGACGAACTGTGGCCATCAGAGCTGTGAAGCCAGAGTGATTCTGCAGGTCTTTGTTGGCACCGGCTTCCAAAAGCAGCCGTGCGATCTCCACGCGGCCGTTTTCAGCTGCGACCATGAGAGCTGTGTTGCCACCGCCACCTTGCAGGTCCTTGTCAGCACCAGCGTCCAAAAGAAACCGTGCGATCTCCACGTTGCCATCTCTCGCTGCAAGCATGAGAGCTGTATAGCCCGCGCGATTCTCAAAGTCCTTGTTGGCACCAGCTTCCAAAAGCATCCGTGCAATCTCCAGGTTGCCTTTGACGCAAGCTTCGCTAAGCTCCTTGGCAGCCTCAAGCTGCCACACGTCAGTCGCAGGGCTTAGCAGGACTAGTTGTAGGTCCATTGGGGCATCCAGCTTGGTGGAATTGTCCAAACTGTTGCCATTGTGCAGCAATTGTTGCATGCACATCGGGAAGCCATGTTGACTTCGTAGGGACGCCTTCAAATCTCGCACATCCGAGATATCCTCCATGCTAACTGCGAGCAGCTCCTGCCCTGACATCTGCTCTATGCGAAGCATTGTGGCAAGGGATCAACACATGCAGCTCTAGGTGAAAAACTGTGATTCGTGTCTATGTTTGCGCGCTTAGCTACGAAAGCAGTGGCAGCATTGGCTTCACGTTCACGGCCTGTTGTGGCGCTGCAGCTGAATTTGTGCACCGACAATGCTCCTGAGGGCCCTCAATGCGTATGCTGTCCTGCAGGACTTTGGGCAAATGCATGGTTGCCTACTGGCGCTCAACCCCAACACCAACAGTTCTGTCGAGAGGTCCCAGAGAAATCTTGGGCATAGGAAGGAAGTATGGCTGCCTCTAAGTTATTTGGCAGCTTCTAGAATCCTTCACGGGGATCCCCATAATCCTTTGGTAGTCCCAGTATCCCTCGAGCACTCCCACATATGGATGCGACATCAAACCGCTATGAAGGTGCTGATGCAGCTTCAAGCCTTTTGGAACATGCTGTTGCTGCCTCTTGTTCACGCTGTAGACTTCAACATCTCGCCGAAGCAAGAGGGACTTTAGGGATATTGGGGATGCCAGAGAAATTATTGGGTGGTGCCTGCTCTGGGTTCAACCATGGTAGTTTAGATCAACTCCCATGTGAGCCCGCAGGCATCTGAATGGGCCAACATATTCCATCACAGGGACAGAAAATGTCACACCCTAAACCCTAAGACCTAGGAATCTTGCACCAACAGTCGCCGCCAACCTCAGCTCCACTGTACTGTATAGTTACAACACGATACAGGCGCCACATATCTGTACCGGGCGCATACATGTCCTCTCCGTTCCCTGCCACATAAGCCCCCTTACGAAGCCCCTATTCTGCGCTCTAAACTCCGGGTTGCCCTCCATATGAGCCACAATCTAAGCTCCTAGGATCCCCTATAATACTCCCTTATATAATCCCCCATATAACCCTCTTAAGCAGTTTAGACTATGGCTCATATCTCCTCTCTATAACTCTCTCCTGATGAGGCCTTCGATCTTGCGCGCTCCGCTTCTGCAGCCGCTCTCAACTGCCCGGTGCAGGCCTCCGGGCAAATTCTTCTGTTGCTAAGCCCTAAACAACCCTAAACCCATTCTTATGCTGCTAATGACAAACCTGTGGGCTCAAGGCTGAGGATTTGAAGTCTAGGGTTGAGTAGTATGTTATAGTATATTAGTATATTTCAGTACATTGTAGTATATTCTGGTAGAGCATAGTACATTATAGTATACTATGATATATCATGGTATATTACGGTACATTATGGTATATTGAGTGCATAAGTCTACGTACCGTTGGCTTTAGGGCGTAGGGCTTAGGGTTTAGGGTTTGCTTGAAGATTTGGGGTCTAGGGATGAGAGGTAAGAGTGCATAAGTCTCAGTACAATCATCACAATGGCAAGTACCATCACTTCAGACCCTAAACCCTAAACCGCTTCAGTGGCTGCTATGCCACCTCTTTGCAACAAACCTTGGTTCTCGAAGTCATCATGCCTACTATGACTTTCGGTGTCCCTTATGAATCCCGTATATATCCCCTATACATCTCCAATAGCCCTGAAGCCTAAACCCTAAATCCTACGTCCTACACTCTAAACCCTAAACCCTAAATCCCTAAATCCTAAATCCTAAACACCCTTTTCAAAAGTTGGGAGGGGCTTTAAATCTTTAAACCCTGACCTTGGCTTGTGCCGCTTCTCCGGCTGCTCTCTGCCGCTCTGCTAAGGCCTGGTATGCCATGGCAAGGCTTGGGGGTTTGGGATTTCTCTAAGGGCATATAGGGGCATATAAGGATGTATAGGGTTTCGGGTTTAGGGTTTGGGGTTTAGATTTTAGGGGTTGGGGGTTTGGGTTTGGCATCGGTACTGCCCCCACCCCGTAACAATCTAGAGTAGGGGTCATATTCAGGTTTTATATAACTATATAATAAATATTATCCAACTGTTAAAGGGTGGGGGCAGTACCCAAGGGTTATCGTTTAGAGGACCGATACTTGGAGGCCCAAGGTAATTATAGCCTAGTTATAGAGATTTTGTAGGGGTTGTTTGGGCTACGTGCGGCTTCTAGGGGCTTATAGGGGTTTAGGACAAGAAGAACCCACATATAGGACACCTATAGCCCAATGCTAAGCCCTCCACATCCCCCAATATGGTCCTGATCGGGTGATAAGTACCACCTATATTTGGGCTACAAATACCCTGCACCTGCGAGTATTCCTGCCAAAGTAAACCCTCCCCCAAACAAACAACCCAGAGCCCCAATGGGATCTAAAGATTAGATCCCCTTGAACCATATGGGAAATTATATGAAGATTATATAGGGGTTATAATGGGTCTATATAGGGATCCTCCCAGGGGTCTGGGAAGGGCTCTAAGAAAGCCACTGCCAGTTTGAAAGGCGCCTTTACGAGGTTCCGTGTTACTCTGTGGGAGTACGCCTGGGGTGTTCTCAGCTGAGGGCGCCCACTGCACTGCTAAGGATCGTACATTGTATATATGCTACCCCAAAAATCTAGGGTACCCACACAAAGACGGTCTTTATGACAAACCCGCATAATCGAGGATTTTGAGCCGAGTATATGTGTCGCTTTAACAACCCTTCCCCCATTTCTGGGCGATATAGAGGGAGTACAGGGGTCGCTAAACCCTAAACCTGAAACTCTTAACCCTGACCGTGCGTGTTTTTGAGAAAGTCCCTTCTTTGGGGTTTGCACAGTTACATATGGAAAGGGCAATGGGTGGACAGCTTATTAGGGATTTTAGGGTTTAGGGTGTGGAGTTGAAGGCGCTACACATACAGAATTTTTGAAGGTAGGGTTTAGGGTTTAGGGTTTAGGGTTTAATTACATCTATCAGTGTTGGAGACTGTTGATAGCACAAGCAATAATTAAGTTGTTCGTTCACGTTCACTCTCCCCCAAGCTAACATACATCCTCATGAAACACCTTTCGAAGCAGATTGTAGGCTTTATAGAGACCCTTCTGAGGTTCCATCAACGGAGCCCCGAAATCTTGAAACCCCCATGAAATGCAAAATTCCCCCCTTATATAAAGCCTCCTTTGGAGGATGGTTGATGGAGTGGGGGCGTGTTTCATATTAGCGGCTGGGATTAATTTCGGGGAGGCTACCCTAGAGACATTACACGCGAAACCCGAAGCCCTGAGCCTTCTGCTTCGCTTCCGCGACTTCTTGAAGAAACTTCTGTTCCTCGGCCTTCGCATGCCATGTTGGGGCTTCTTGCTATATACCCCTACACTCTCATGATCCTACATACCCCTACATATGGTTCATGGGACCGACTGGTTATAACTGGGCTTATTACTTATAACCCCACTCATGAACCCCCCAAATGGATTTATGTAGGCTAGCCCAACTACAAGTAGGGTCACAAGCCCAGTAAAATCTAGTGACTAAGTCACATGAACCTTCAAGTACCCCTATATGGCCCTCAATATGCTTATATCCCTTATAACATTGCCCTAAACAAGCCTCTAAACCCTAAACCCTACACCCTAAACCCTCAGCCCTAAACCCTAAACACCTAAGCCCAAACCTACTCCGGCCTTAAACTTGGCCTCCTCATCTGCGCGTTGCTGCTCAGCAGCGGCCTCGGCTGCCAAGCAAGCTTCGGGCGTTCAGGCCTAATGGGGTAGGGTTTAGGGTTTAGGGTTTAGGGTTTAGGGTTTAGGGTTTAGGGTTTAGGGTGTAGGGATTCGGTAATGTCTGTACAGGTGTTATATAGGATTCTAGGGGCTACTTACGGTACAGTGGGATATGATCCCCAAGAATGGAGAGTCGAATGGAAGAGATGATGGACAATGATATGGAAACTAGGCTGATTTAGGGGTTGATAAGTTTGGATACAAAAAATGCATGACCCTCAGTACCTTCTACGTTGGGAATCGCACTGAACCAGTATACTGAAGTCAAGTCATGCGGGAAGGTTAGTAACAGTCGTGGGGTTTTAAGGCTTCAGGAATACATAGGAATACATAGAGGTACACGGGGATATGTAGGGACACCTAGAGATATGTAGGGTAATATAAGGATAGATAGGAATACTGTAGAGGCGTATAGAGATGTACAGGCTCACAGACCTTGGGGTTGGAGTTTAGGTTTAGGCTTCAGGGGTTGCAGCTTACCTGGGATCGTCATCAGAAACAAAAGGGCGATCCCAAAGAAATGCTTCAAAACGTGGTTGCTTGGGAACAACTACTTGATTTCTGGTTGGTGTGTTCCATGTAGGGTTTAGTAGGGGTTCAGGGTTTGTGGAGTAGAGATTTGAGCTTGAAACCTTAGGGTCCAGGGGGTGGAGATTGAAGCTAAGGTTCTAATATTTGTGTAGAGCACACGTTTAGGCGTCGTTCGGGGCTGTAGGTTTAATGTATGAGGCTTGGGGTACGGTGTACAGGATTTGCATGAATGAATATGGTCTCGCCAAACTGTTTGCATAACACGCTGTACAAAGCCAAGCATGTGCAACTCCGTTCTGTCACGGAGTTATGCAAATGGTCCACAGGCCCATGCCACTGGATTTACGAGTTTAAGATTGCAGCCGTGAGTGACACATATATGACATGGCATAGACAGTGCAAGGGGATCCAGACAGTGCAGGGGGCCATACCTGACCCGGAAAAGGGCACCAAGAACACTGGATAACACTAGTGCTAAACATCGTACACTTGCCGTTACCATCCGTTTGCGGACAAACACTGCCCAAACCTATGGCGGGTACTGAAAATCCTACATTACCCTAAGTATCTTATACTTTGGGAAGCATGGCCTTACAGCAAGTATACTAAGGTCCCGCATGAGTGTTAAGAACAACTGCACTGACAGTGAATTATCTTAATTCCAGGGCTCAGGATTCTTGACGCGAAGTTGATTTCTTCCCAGATGCCATAGCAAACCCCTCGCCCGCACTTAAAATCCGCCAGCCCCTTTCATAAAAAGTATTCCAAACTCCCACAACTATCTCCAGAGGGTGGGCATTTGTCCTTGGGGGTTAGTCTTAGGGGGAAGGGATTCAGTG